GTTAGATATTCTTTATGTGATTACACTCACCATTTTAAATACCAAATAATAATTATATCAACACGACAAAACATTAAAATCATTAAATTTTATGTTTCTTTCACTTTGTACCAAAAATACTTTGTCCTTTGCAACATAGGATGTCAATATATTTATTAAACTGTCAGCGAGGGTATTGGGGAGTTTTCAAAATATGAAAATCTGAGATTATCAGTACAAGTTATACAAACTCCATAAATATCTGTTCTTATTAATCATCAACAAACACATACTTTAAGGAAGTATAACATTTAAAATAATTTACACACCTTTTGGTAAATCTCAAATTAATCATTACATAAAGTATTATTATGCAAACATGTACACAATTTGAAAAATATCATTTACTAACTACATGGTAAATTACTTTTAAAAGACTAATAATAAAATATCTTGTGACATAAATGTATATAGTTAATACTGTTACTTTGTTTTTCCCTGCAAATATTATAAATGTATTCATATAAAATGTGATATCTTTCTATCAAGTAAATATCATTCTGAAACACAGAAATCATTTAGAAGAGAGAATAGAAGGCTTAGACAACAGTCTTGGCACGAAAATCTGTAAACATCTAACATCACACGCAGAAATATGATACAAACATTTCCTTGCAACGAATATAAAACCATAATTCTCAAAATCATAACTTTTACAAATGAAAACATAATTCAAAATCATAAAGTTTATTTTTAAATCAGCCCTGTGACTATTCATATTTTTCCTCCTTACTTTAGCAGATACACAAATCTGAAAGGAAAAATATTATAGTATTTTCAAGTAACAAAGCTCATCCTGGCTACTATCATTACAAATTTGTCATTGAAATTATGGTATTTATATTCAAACTGGAGGGTACAATTTTATTATTAAAATTGTGCTTTACCAATATGTTCATTAGTTAAGATGAAAGAAAGTAGTAACAATTGTTATGGCACTTTTAAATGCCTGAGCCCAACAAGTTATTTTGGCCAAGTTCAATGTAATCTCTAGAATTCATAACTTATCTCTTCTTTGTGGATCGCTGCGATTGCATAGTTATAATGTTTCTAGTTTTCTGAATATTCTAACTTCTAATGGTGTACGATGGATAGGAAAGAAGAGCTAATTTTTACTTTCTCATTCTTACTAACGTAAGAAGAGAAAGTATTGTAATCGTGCGCAGGAAAACGGCGAATTTTCGACCAAAAACTTGGGTCCTGGTTAAGGAAAAATGGATAAATCCAGATTTTAAATATAGAAAAAAATCCTAACACGTGCTGTAGCCAGAATGTTTTGAGGGTCCTTGATACCGAAAAATCGAGTGACAGCAAAATGAACGTCCGTCCGTTCGCCCGTCCGGGGGGTACTTTACATGAAACCCCTGGAGCATTTTCAAAAAATGGCTCCAAATTGTTTGATTAAATTTTGTTGTTGAATAGTGCAAAGGACGTTTAAGAGAATGCTGCAGGTCTCATTTTCGTTGACATCTCGAATCGTGGTCACCACGAATAAACAGTGACAAAATATCATAATAGAAATCATCATATTCACACAATATTTACAAACACATTCATTCCCTCCCTTCTTCTCATGGCCTTGCTCCCTTTTTAATTCTTTGTTCTAAACTATTCTTAAATCTACATAAAAACATAACTTAATATTCCTACATACAAATAATCTTAAAAGTTTCTAGACTTCCCTGTGGCTTCCTTAGCAAGCTTGGCCGACCGCAAGTGGTAATCACTTTCCACCTTCCCGGCTCCTCGCTATCTCGTTGCTGGAGCTCGTTCAGATTTACCTTTGTCAGAATTCTAATCACCCCCGAATTTTCCGTCCTTTAAAAGTGAAACAATTTCTAAGAAACCGCGTAGTCGCTTTCAGTTTTCGATTTCCCTTCTTACAGTTTATGTTCAATTTCTCCGACTTATTACACGACCTCAACTACGCTGCCCGCTCACGTCCGCAACCTCTCACAGCTAAGCTCGTTCTGCCTTGCAAGTCATAATGCCCGCCTTTCAATTGTCTTATTCCTTACCTTAGCTATTATTTTGTACACATATCACAGTATTCCTTAACATTCGCCATTTTCTGTTTATTATTTATATTATTATTCTCGGCAATTCCTCACGTGTCCACAAATAAGCTTAAAAACTTTATTTGCCACTGTTTTCCTCAACCGGTCGCTTTCTACTATCATTCTTTATTTATATTTTAATTATATCGTCTTTATTGACCTCTTTTGTTGCTTTCCTATATGTTCCTTTTAAACATTTGTTATGCTTTTACGCACCCAAGATAATCCATCAAAATATGTATAAATCTGATTGTCCGTACAAAGAACCGCTGTGCAAGAGAAGTAGAGCAAATATCTTGTATTTGTTCAGTAAAGGCAAGACTTCAATAAATGAAAGAGCGTGCAACTTGCTATTAGCGCCAATAAAAGTCTTACCTTTATCTGAATATATTGGAGTAGGAAAATCCCGACGAGCAAAAAATCTACGTAGAGCCGTTATTGAGTCGCAACTCAACACGTTCCAGAAGAGTTTTTCCAGGAGTGTCAAGATTTCTCTCGTACATTCTGATTTAAAAATGCTTACTCGCACTTTTGCAATAGAGTACCAGTATTTTCCTTAAGTTTGCTGTACAAAATTAGGACCAAAAATACAAGTTTATATACCCAATATTCGAAACAAATGGGATAATGTGTAGTGTACACTGTGAAGACAAAACGCACCGTACATTTAACGTCCACTTGTTTCTTTTCCGCAAATTTTTCTATGACTTTCTCGCTGAGCCCATTTATATTTCTCACGAATAACTTCACAAACATTACAAAAATCACTCCGCTTATACACTTCTGAATCTGGATACATTGCATAAGTGTCCTTTGTTTTCCGCTCGACATTGTGGCTGACATTTCGATCGAAATAATTCAATCCTTCCAATAACTCATCGATACTGGCGGGCATATTGTTTGTAATCAAATTCTGAAAACTACATGGTAATCGACTCGGAATTATTCTCATAACCTCGTGTGGATTAAGTGTGTCATCGTATGCACGAAAAATTGTAATGCAACGCGTAGTATAATCCGCTGTTTATATTATAGGGTTGCGACATAATTTGATACTTCATTTCCAACCTGTGTTGTTCATTTCAATACGTATTTAGGAATTTATTTTTCCATTTCGAGTATCCAAGTTGTTGAGGATATGACTTGAACCAATTTTGGGCTTTGGACGATGGTGCTAATTTCACTATGTCCCATTTTCAAATGCTCGGGAACATTATTTATTTTTAAGTAATTTTCCAGATTTTTGATAAATGAAAAATCTCCCTGTCTCTCTATATCTGTGTGTCTCTCTCTGTCTCTCTGCTTCTCTCTCTGTGTCCCTAGCTATGTCTGTCTCTGTCTGCCTCTGACTCTGTCCACATTTGTCTGTCTTTCTCTATGTAATTTTGTGACTAGTCTCTCACGTCGTTAACATTTACATTCGCAACAATTTGTTTACATTAGTGTTTTATGACTACATTTGCTTTAAATAACGTGAGATAAAGTTGCCCCAAAACTTAAGTTTTCTGTGAAAATGAACTTTCGAATTTTCAGAAACTCTAAAATTCCATTCTCACAAATACGGCTCCACATTTCTTTTCTTTTTTTTCCAACTTTTCGAACATATACTGCTGTTTGCACTGTTTAAGATGACATGGAATTAATTTTGCTGTATTAATTTGTTTTGGCAAAAATTACACAAATGCATTGTCTTTGAAATATCTCTCACACCTGTAATATGGACATTTCCAGTAATTTGTAAACACTATTGCATTTGTGACTGTATGCAATGCCTGTATGCAATGAACAGACGTAAGCACAAGAATCTTCTGACAGAAAGACAGGGAATATATTTTTCATCAGAGGTAAAAGAAGAATTTCCTGAAATTACAGAAAAGGGGTAATAAAGGTTCACTAGAATTATCAACAAATTATTGAAGTGTTTATCATCATTGAAAAAAGTACATTTATCTTAGTAATATTTTTATTTATTTTTCTAACATCAATATTACAAAACATGTAAAGCAATTTTCACACTTCTTTGTTACAAATCATATTTTTACATCACATTATGTGCTCTACAATTAATGGTTATTGTGTGAATATTTTTTCAAATTTACTGAGGATTATGTAGGCAAGAGAATATTTCTGCGAGTGCTGTCATTTAATACAGTAGATATTCTTTGAGTTGTGGATTACACTCACCTTTTAAAATACAAATAATAATTATATCAACAACAACAAACATTAAAAATCATTCAATTTTCATGTTTCTTTACACTTTTGTACCAAGGAAATATTTGTACCTTTGCAACATAAGATTGTCAATATATTTAATAAACTTTCAGAGAGGGTATTGAGTTTTCAAAGATATTGAAATCTGAGATTATCAGTACAAGTTATACAAACTCCATAAATATCTTTCTTATTTAATATCAACAAACAATACTTTAGAAGTATTAACAGTTAAAATAATTTTACAACAGCTTTTGGTAAATCTCAATTAATCATTTACATTAAAGTATTATTATGCAAACATTTAACACAATTTGAAAATATCATTTACCTAACATACATGTAAATTACTTTTAAAAAGACTAATAATAAAATATCTTTACATAAATGTGATATAGTTAATACTGTTACTTTTGTTTTATCCCTGCAATATTTATTAAAAATGTATTCAATATAAAAATGTGGATATCTTTCATATCAATTTAAATATCAGTTCTGAAACACAGAAATACATTTAGAAGGAAGAGAAATAGGAAAGCATTAGACACATTCTTGGCACATGAAATATCTGTTGAAACATCTAACATTCACAGCGCAGAAAGTATGAATGACAAACATTCCTTGCAACTGAATTAAACACCATGAATTCTCAAAATCATAACTTTTGAACAGAATTGAACAATAACTTCAAAATCATAAGTTTAATTTTTGAAATAGCCCTGTGACATGATTCATGATTTTTTCCTCCTTTTACTTTAGCAGATAACACAAAATTGAAAGGAAAAAAATATATATGTGTATTTTCAAGTACAAAGCTCATCCTGCTACTACCATTACAAATTGTCATTGAAAATTATGTATATTAATATCAACTGGAGGTAAACAATTTTATTTATTAAATGTGCTACCAATATTTCATTAGTGTACAGATTTGAAAGAAAGTAATATACAAGATTGTTTGGCAGCTTTTAAATGGCCTGGAAGCCCACAAGTTATTTTGGGCCTTAACAGTTTCCAATGGTAGATCCGCTAGAATTCATGGACTTGTATAATCCCTTTTCAAGGCCCACAATAACAAACACTAAAACAAACATTTAAAAGGCACTAGCAGTTAGAAATGTCTTATATTGCATTTCTTTTTTTTTTCTCACTTCAGATGTGTAGAAACGGGCAGGTCGGACCTAAAGTCTAAAAAATTACTTTAACTCAAACTCTCATTAAGGAAATAATGCTGTGATAAATCTAAAATTAAAAGCATAATAGCTACATTTTCATGAATGGAGCTGCTCATACTGATTTTTCTAATAGACTTTCTTTATTTATTGTTTGAAGTTGTATAAGCAATGGAAATAAATCCCATTATGATACACAATGTGAATAGACATCAGTGTGAAGTTTGGTTGGATTCTCAAAGCACCAGAATTTGCTTTCCAGAGAATAACACTAATGAGGTGTACCATGGAACTGGGCAAAGTAAGGTAGTGTGCCCTCCCAAAGAGTTCTGACCCTACAAGTAACATCTTTCAGAGCACAAATGCCATTACTCAGCATTCCCCAGCAGATTGTTGCACCGAAAATGGGGGCTACATTATGCTACTGCACTGCACTGAACAAGCAGCATTAATTTGTTTTGCTGCTGCCAGAAATCAAACTCAGACCTTTGTACACAAAAAGCATTCATGCTGACCATGAGCAATCAAGAAGCATTACACATAACTAAATCGTGTCATTAAGAAAAGTAATTTATGAAATGGAGGGAATAATATTACAAACTTTAATAATCTGAGATGTCACTGCTATAAAAATAATATGTTTACTTTCTGTTTAAAATATAATTGATTATTCCATGCTTATTGATAATAAATTTAAAATTTAGAAACATGAAAGGAAATATTTGATAACCCACATGTTGATGAAAACTTTTTCTTCCTTCCCATTTGTTAAGTGATTACATTGAGGATGGAGTGGCTTCTAATATTGAAAATGGATATTAATGAAGGGCTACTCTTGTGGAAATGGTTTTTGAAAACCTTAATGGACATCCTTAATCCTCAATATTGTCTATGAATATTGGAGAATTTGATATTTTTCGTTAACTGTCTCCTTTCAATGTAAATGAGTTGATTGAATTTATTGAGTTTTAAGATTATCCAGAAGCGTAGCTGCACCTTGGGAGAAGGATTCAGAGGGTCCAAATGAGTTGCCTATTATATATAGTTTCTGTAAAATGGTAAAATAGGCTACTCAAATTTAGTTCAGAAAGTCTAGTAGAAAAAAAATCAACTTATAGTTTCTCATGAGAATTAGATAATTGCCATTAAAAGTACCTATACTTATATATTTGAATAGACCCTTTTATTTTTCCTACTCCTTTTACTTATAAAAATGTAAGTGATACTTGTAAACCAACTTTATAAGGCTTAACTAACTTATGTAATAACATCTGTTGAAAATTTCTTTGAAAATATTAACATTTAATGGAAATGCCTAAATGTTAAGCTTTTTAAAATGACCTGCCCTTTCATTGGTGTTCAATTTTCACACACAAAATTCACAATGGTAACAAGGATAATATAAAAACAAGTGGAACATACAGCACAAATTTCAATGTGTTATTCAAAATTCGTTGCATTTGCTCGACTCTTCCATAACTTGTTTGCATGAAAAAATGGTTTCTCTACAATCTAAGCCATGCATCAAATTGTTTAGTCATCTGATATAAATATGGACTTCAATATCAGTTGCCACATCCAAAAAATATGATATTTTAATGTACCCTTTGATAAAATCAGTGTTTAACCTAAGCTCCTAACTGTACTCCAAAACAAAATTACTTTCATAAAATACTTTTAAAACTTAATAGCTTATAGAGTATGTAATTTAAGCCTGTGATAGCCAACTTTTAGCTGGTCAGTATACGAGTACATTAAAATTTCATTTCACACAATATTTTAAAAATGAAATTTTGAATACTTTGGCATCACAAAAGTTTTGTTCTTTCATGAAGAAAACAAGAATATGAACCGACAATACTACTTACATTTTTTCCTCAAAGAAAAAACAAAAGAAATAAATCCATTTTTTAATCTTCCTTTTTTTTCAATATTAGTTCTATGATTGTGTGGAGAAGCATTTTCCACCCTTTTGTAGTCACAGTATGCTCAGAGAGAGACAAGCAAAGATTGTCATTTATATTTGTAGATTTAGTCTTCAGATTTTTAAAGTTGGCTATCACATCATTGCTTTATTAGTGTTGATTATAAATCACCCATCAAACAATTAAATTACCATATCACTGTACCTCTGATATTTTTTTACAATGTTTATTTGTACAAAATGCTCTTTGCTGTGAGCAGATTCCAAACTCTTTCCACTAATCTTTAGTAGTTATGCAAAAAACCTTCAAGCAATCTAACAAATCTTTGATCTCATTTCAGCCATTGCAATCACACTAGTGCTTCTACATCACAGACAAGAAATTTGATGCAAACAACAACAATAGCAACAACAACAATCACAACAACTATTTTCAAATATTGGGAAGTAAGGAAGATATGCATGAGTATGTTCACAATCATTTATAATGTGTGATATTTGCTTTTAAAGTATAGTTACAGTTCTGTGACCGTGCACCAACAATTATTTTTAATTGTTTAGAACTGTGAATAAATTTTGTGACCTTCAAAACCAAAATTATGCTTTCTTGCAAGTTTCAACATATTTTGGCAAAGAAATGAAAAATGTGCAATGTATATATTGAAGTTTTTCCAAGAATTTTTGCAGTTCATGCATGCAATTACAGAATAAAATTATACTTGCAAGGTATAAAAAATTAAGATTGAATGAGGATATTGAAAATAATGAAACTTGATTATGATTAAAGGAAAGGGTTTTGGGAAAAATTGTGAGAATTAAAAATGGTCTAAAAGTCAAAATCCGAGTTTTCTGGTGTTAATGTTGGTTTTATTTGTTGGGGACTTGTCATTATATCTAATGACATTAAATTTTCAAATAGCCCATGTGTAATTCTCATTATAAATATTGTTTATTTATGAAAAGGATATAACACTTATTGAAATTCCTCATTGTAATTTCATAGACTTTCTGATTCATTAATGCATTTAAAAAATACGAAGAATTTAACTGCTCAAGAAGAAGTACATAATTAGCTTACTTTGAGAATATTGGAAGAACATTTATAATACAGTTCAGAAAATTGAAAAACTCTCAAAATAAATCAGATTTTCTAAATACTGGGTTATCTATGAACTACCTGAAAAGCTCAGCATGTGATTTTATTTTGCTTGAAGCTTGACAATAAATGACAGTATTTGTTAAAAATTTTGTGCAGTTTGCACATTTACAAAAAAATTGTCTACATTTTCTCTGGGTTTTACCTTGTCTAAATTATCTACTTGCATTGTTTAATCAATTCATTTATATTTCTCAATAAAGCATGCACCATTTCCTCCAACATCTCATGTTGGTAGTTCATACAAAACCAACTATTCTAAATAACAAGTTAGTGAGCTACATATACCTACATTGTATTATGTAATGGATGGTGTATATTTGATATTATAGTTTCACAGATATCTTATTTTCTTAGGAATTGCCTCATTTGTTTATTTTGACTAGACATACTCAAATGTGCTGTTTCTGCTTTCATAATTAAGGAATCCAATTTGTCAATCTGTGAATCCATCATTTCACTGACATCCGATTGTGGTCGAATCTGCCCTGACTTCACCACTTTCCTTGTTTCTTTCTGTCCTCCACCTGTTTCCAGAAATGTGTGTTGAGGTCCTATCATTAGCAGCGATAAAAAAGTATTTTGAATTGCTAAGCACATTTAATATGAACATATAATTTTCAATGCACATTGTATGACAGCCCATTCTATGATCAGACATAGCAACTAAGCATTTTTTCTCTTGGTTGGGCTGTGTTCAGAAAACGATATAAAACAAAAAAATATACCAAGACTACTCATCACTAAGTATTAGTCAAATAAGAAAATCCTCTCTGATTCTTAAAAAATTACAGAGATTATTCAAGATAACTAACTTCCTAGTTATAAAGAAGATAAGTTGGTTAGTCTACCAAAGAAAAAAGAGACATTCTATAACACGTTCAAAAAATGTTTTATTACAGTATTTTATGTTGTAAATAGATAGAGGTTGGTTTGGTTATTTGTTAGAAACAAATGAGAGGTAACTAATCATTCAGGAATTATCCAATCATTCAGGAATTTTGATTTGGTAAGTCATAGTAACTAATATTCACATTCAAAGGAATGTGAATGTGTAATACTCATGCTGTTATCATGCAGAATGCAAACTATATGTTTGTGATGAAAGCTTGTAATGAAAAGTCATGGATCTTTTAATTGAGAATTATAAATTTATCAAAATAATGTTTGGAATCATGCCAGAAATAAATCAATTCACAAATGCAGAAGAAATGAAGGATGTAAATTACTTTTCTTAAAAGTCATGATAACTTAACGTGTAAGATGTAATGGAGAAATAAAACTTTACACCAATTTTGAGTAAAATTCTGAAGATAATTTCTTGTTAAATTTGTTCTCACAAGTGCAAAGAAAACATTTCTTTAATGAAAAAAGAAAAAAAAATTGATAAGTTTTCAAAGGCATCTTTGTGGGAAATATTCATTCTTTTAGGTCATTCATTAAAAAAAGTAATTCTAAGAGAAAGTGTATTTAAAATGGATGATATGAATATATATATTAAGGGGGTTTCCATAAAAAGGAATGTTTAGGAAGGTTTTTTTATCACTCAGGATATTATCTTTTCTTCTTTAGAATTTTCCTTGTTTGTAGTTTTGTCTCTGTTCATTTTCATTCAATCTTTTTGATGCAATGAGTACTAAAATTAATATTCTGAATATGCTTTGTAAATCTTGAAGATAAATTTCTTAACATTTCAAAGTAATAAAGTATCTTGGTGATTAATATTTGTTGGTCATATTGGTTAAAAACTGTGATTCCAATTGGAAATGCAGTTTCCCCTATAGTATGTCACACAGTTTTTAACTATTTTTATGTTAAATAAATGAATTGCTTTTCTCTTAGAAAACAAGATATTCCAGTATGAAGAGTTGGCTAATAAGTTGCTTTCATGGAAAAATAAGGAAATGTTAATTAACAATGAACAAATTAATAATGGCAAAATGTTATCTGCCAAATTTTAATTCAGAACCACTTTTGTAAATAAATAAATAAATAAATTTAATAAAAACCTTGCCTATGACAGTCAGTATTGCTTGTCAGCTGATGTATTGTGCTATCCATACATATAGCCTACAATTCCAAATACTTATCAAGAAGATATGTATTAAAAATAAAGGATTTTTCTATTTGGGGGGGTAAAATTCTATAGACCACTGCAAAATTCTCAGACAGAAACTACGTAAGATATAATGCTACAGTTAATGCCTCAACTTTTCTGTATAGTTACAGTTATCCAAAATGATCAAGAGTCTTACATGGAAGCTTACAAATGCAAATGTTACACTATCATATCCTTCTGTGCCAGTATGCAATAACAATGAAGAATATTGCAGAAAAATTGAGGATAGCAGGCCAAGAAAGCACAAGTAAAAGAAAGTGTACATTTCTTTTTTTTCTAACATGATGCAAGATTATTGGTTCACATTAAAAAACATTTGTGCATAATTTCGAGTGCTGCAAATGAAGGAAGATTATATTATCGCAAACTCTCTGTAGTTTCTAGTGAGTCACCTGTATCTTGGTTTCCTGCATCCTCCTCAGTGTCTGTAGCTACTTGACTATCATTGTTGCTAGATGTGCCTTCATCTCCTTTTGCTGTTCCAACCTTAATTTTCAGTAAATTGGTCAGACTCCCACAAACAATCTAAATACAAGAGAATTTAAATGTATATAATACCATTGGTCAGTAATTTATTTTATATTTACTCTCCAAAATTACAACATGCTTAACTTGTACCAGAGAAGCAGCTTGAAAGAAACAAAATCAAATGAAAACTTTACATTATTGTTCATTTTTGCAATTGTGTTTTTCTTGAAATACCACTTCAAATTACTTCTTGGAATCACATAAATACAATCACCTTTACATACCTTAAATCTATTTAGTTTCTTTTGGGTAACAGATAATATGCTGTTCAATTCATCAAGTCCTCCTGATAAATGTTTCATTTGTTCGTTATCAATTTCAAGTTCCTGAAATAAGCATCAATAAAAGTATAAAAGAAGATAAAATCTCTTGAAATTAAAATAAACAAATAAACTTATTCCTAATGCTAAATAAAACCAACTCTATTCAAATGTATGAACATGTTGTGTTCCTCACCTTGGAAATGACAAAACTCAATACCTATGTAATATCAGTGATAGATCATTCATTCATTCATTTTAGTTAGTTGCACCAATTAGTTTCTTTGGATGCAGAAAAAGGTAGTTCATTTGTATTTAATGGGTGGGATAAGCAGGTTCAAAATGGAGAAAATCAAGACAAACCAGCATGTTACTAAATATATTATATATTTTTTCATAAAATAGAATATCTTATTTTAAAAAACTACCAAATCAGCCATAATGTTTAAGGCTACACATGAAGATAAGAAATGAAGACACAGGAAATTCATTCCACAAATCTCATTCAAATAAACTGTTTTTGTCTTGCTTATATTCAAACTAGAGAAAGAGCATGAAAAGTATTGGGTGTAATAAGTAAAAGTAATACATATATTCCTTTTTTAGAAATAATAAGTTCTTAATGCATCTACAAGGCCTTGAGTTGTAAATTCATTTGTTCTGAGTTTTTTAAAAAATAGCCCTGAAATTTAAATTTCGGGGCTATTTCTTCTGTAATTATGAAATGTTTTGATATAAGGAGAAAATGATGTTCTTTGAAATGTAGTTGTTTCATTTTTTATGTTTATTTGCTGCTACATTTTGAGAATTTTTACTGTATGAGAAGTAGTAGGCACTGAGCATATGTCAATGTTATTCAATATTTTTTTAACATAAAGTAATCAGAAGTAGCAGTTTTTACCTCAATTTTGAATTTAGGAAACAAAAATTTAGATCAGTGATCAAATTTGCACCCCACTTTATTATAATCTAATGCTTTTGTAATATGTTACCTTAATAAGAATCTCAAACAGCAATGTCAGTGTAAAGTAAAGAAATGGTAATTATGGAATTAACTTGAATTGGTTATCAAGTAAACTAATTTCAGGTAGTTATGCTTCATGAAAATGATATTTCAGTTACAACAGATTATACAATGTTGACAAGATTTAATTTGATAGTACTATTAACACTAGTACTATTTTTGTAATTTTATTTATCTATCCTGGAACAAAACTGTTTTCTTGTGTTCAAAAGTTTAAAGATAATTAAAAAATTGATACATTTAGTACTAAAAGAGAATATTTTTCTTCAACTTTTTGAAATTCCTTAACTTTTTCATAGTTTCCCTTAATCATAATTTAGTTCTGTACTGTCTCTCCGAGTAGAATGAATTTCACATTAAATTGCATTAGTAACATTCATTTCCCTAGTTTCGTTTGAAGGATATTACGAACATCGCGCGTTTAAACGTGCGCACGTGACGGATCAATACTGACCAAGCAATACGCCACCAGAGATTCCTCATTCGCTAGATTTCTCCGCAATGTAGATTTGTCAGTCGGCGCTCCCAAAGCTCACTGAAGTTTGGATGGGAAATACTTTCACCGCCAGAACTAACGCGCTTCAAAATTTTAACACATTAACTCCACATATTTTTCTCTTACCTCTTTCCGGTCTAATCTTTCTTCCCCCGTCGCGGGTCCAGAACCTTCCGCCCCCTCTTCGACATCACCTGTCGCTCCAACGCCTTCGCTTTCGCCTTCCAGAGGGTCGGGCTTCGTTTCTGGGGGAGGTAGCCCCAGCAGCTCGCACCTCATCTTCTCGTACTCGTAATCTCCCTCGGCCATGATTCCAACAGGAAATACGACAGATTTTCAGTCAACAATTTCAAATTGTCGATCGCTGTCGCTGCGGCCCCCCGCACCTGAACGCAAATGGGAGTGTGTGACGTGTGCCGTTCCCAGCCTTCGAACACGCCCCCTAGCGAGACGAAGCGGGTTGCATCGACGCCGCGTACGCAAGCCCCTTTATAGTAGGCCTCCCCTCTTGCACTTCCCGGCGCGTGCTGCGCCTAGCGGCGAAAAGGCGAACTACCGTGATGAATGGACTTGCGCCATGCTGTGCGATTTCGTGGCTTTCCAACGGCAGACCCTATTGCAGTCGTATGAAAACAAGTACTCTATTTTAAATTAAATATACTTTTACATTAAGTAAAATGTTTTCTGTGAATGGCTCTCTAAATTTCAATAGTTCTTTCAAATTTTACTAGTAAATAAAACAAACTACCACGATAACGAAATTAAAACTTTAATTATAGAATTAATAACTACAATTGATTCTATTTAACCATTCACAGGGTTCCCAGATGATCGGGGGAGCCTCTACGCCCAATATGTTTCAATGCCCCACATTGTCAGCTTTAAAAAATAAAACGAAATGATATATGCGGTAATTTTATTGCATTCAAAATTTTGACGGGGCCTTGTGGTCTTCTTTGTACGCACAATTATGAGTATATTCAGAAAGGCGGGATTTATTTCATTAGAAATTCTTGGAATATCTTGGCGTTACCGTAAGTTGCGGCGCTCTAAATTCGACTTGACCACTTCCAAATTATTCGAGCTCTGCCTTCCATTTGCGTACAGTTATACTATATCTTTCAACAAGAGTAATTATAAAGTGACAATGTGGATTTTATAACGCCTTTTTGAACATAATCATCATTAAGAATAGAAAAGTTTCATCTACAGAAACGTCAGAAACAGTAGCGTACAGTTCGGGCCCGCAATCCGGGCAATCCCAGATAAAAGAGGGCCTACTTTAAGGGTGAAGGTTTTTCGATTGTAAGAAATAATAGTTACTTGATTCTTTCTCTGAAACGTTGATAGAAGAAGCGAAAGTTGATAGAAGAACGATTTTTTCTACTTCGGTAGTTTATGTAACCCTGTTCCTAAATCAATTAAGATAAGCAATTCGTTTGGGTTTTACAACAGCCTTAATTTCATAAAATTAAATACTAAGGGCAACTTTTTCTTCTATTGATTATTAATCATAGACTGATGAATTCGAATTTGTTTATGTATATTTTTTTATTTTAGGTTCTAACACTACTTGTGTTTGCCATTCACGTGTGTAAAGGGGGCCCGAATAAAAGTTTTACGGAGAGCGCACCCATTTCGTTACGCTTCTGATCAAAACTACATGTAAACGACATGGTATACAGACATCGCGAGTATCGTGAACGAAATTGTATACAAATACAACAACATTATATAAAAAATTACTTTTGTTTAATCTTGTCTTCAAATGCTTTGTGTCAAAGATGTAATCTGTAACGTTCTTTGTAAATATACTCTGTACTTAAATTTCAAATTAGGATTTTCTAGTAATGACTTTAATGAATATCACAATAATTTACATCATTTTCCCCAATTTCAATAAATTAGTTTGTAGATTCCTTCTTCTGAGTCAACTGCAATGCAAAATTCTTGAAGTAAGATTGAAGTTTATTTTTCTTGACCAAATGATAGTGAAACAAAGATGTAATCTCAGAAATGACTTTATTGTTAAAGTGAGCCATAATGAGTGAACTGACCAGCAAAAATAAACAAAAACAACTTTCTGGCACATATGAAGATGGCAACATCGAGTTTCGCAAGAAAGCACACGAGATATCGTTGGTGGATTCGGTTCTCAGCTCGTGGAGGCGTCTATGCGGCGGACGGAGCAGGGAAGCAACAGGGAAGCAACAGGGAAGCAACAGGGAAGCAACAGGGAAGCAACAGGGAAGCAACAGGGAAGCAACAAGGTCCAATTGCCTCGTCGTTCGGGGGCTTCAGCAAACGAAAAAAAATAGATACAGATGTCTCAGAAACGATCTCACAAACTTGTAAGGTTGAAGATGATCGTTTTTTCCCCTAAGGAACTTGTGGTGGTAAATCTCATAAAAGATTACGTGCAGGTTTGCCCCTGACTGCTAGGCAACCCACGCAAACCGTATAATGGAAACGATCAAAGTGGGGGGTTAGAGATCAGAAATTTGGGCATGTTGTTGTTTGGGAGTATTATTGCCAAAATTTGAGCATGCTGTGGTGACAAGCACGTGATGTGACGTTTGAAGAAGATATTTGGCGAGTTTATCTGTCTAGAAGCGAATAAATACTTCAACATTGTCGGAGAATTAGATTTATAACTCGTTCGAGATGTCTTGTACTGAGAAGCTCTATACATTTATTGTGTTTATTATTGGGAAATGATTGTTCAAAAATTTTAATAAGAACTACTTCTATGAATCACATCTTTACTTGAGGATCCAGTTGAAAGACTTGGCTGTAGGTTAGTCATGTGACATAACAAGCCCTTTATGATAAATCAGAAGAAAAGATTTCAGACATTCCTTGTAAGAGAGTAAGGCAGATATGTCTCTATAGTTCAGCTTCTGTTACAGCAGCAGCACAGTATCAGTACTCGCACAAAAATTAGTACTCGATATGAGACTGTTAGTAAGATTATTTTATTTTTGTCGTGAATGTGACATAGGATAGCTCAGCCTTTCCATTAATTGTCTCTAAAATTACAGACTACTGTAATATTTATTTCGAATTTGTTGATAATATTATTAAGCGAGAGTAAGAAGTAATTTCGACATTAATACTTTGAAGCTGCAAATGAATATGAATTGCTTAAATTTGTATAATACCACCCCAAGAGTTTTAATAAAGTAAAAATGGGCGGAGTTGAGTTAATCTTGCACTGTCAGATAGAAAACAGAATTAATATTGAATGAAATTGAGTGAAAAAATTAAAAATAGCCTTCTCGTTGGAAAGACTGTTTCAAACGACGACTTCCCTGCAGATCCAAGAAATCAGCAAACTGCCGAACGCGCTGCCCGCAATCTAGTTCTCACTGCTAATATGTTTCTCCCAAGTCTTGTTTTTGTATTGAAATACATTCTTCGCCTTTACAATCAAGAGAGCAAAAATAGATAAATTTGATCATGGTTGCATAAGCTGCTGGGAAGTTATGTTCACTACAGAATATTAAATTATTGAATCCAATTTTAGAGAATACGTAGTAGAAGAGTAATAAAATTTGATAACACCTAAAAGTTAGTTTATCTTAATTATAGGCATGTTTATATACAAATGATGTTCGTTTAAAAATTTCTCACTGAAAATTGAAAGCGGGTCACACTTTAGGTACACTCCTTACATATATTTTAAGTTTTCAATATTCTGCTAATTATTTTTTGTCAAAATACATATTACCTATTTTCTTGACATCTGTTTAATATGTGTCCGCAAGCTCGTGTAAATTGATATTCTGAAAGAATCATCTAAAGTTTTACAGAATGTGCATAGGTATTGTAATATTTGGTTAGACATTACAATAGGTATGCATAGGTACTAGAATGCAAAAATAATTAATTTCGAAACTTTGATGGAAAAAGTCGCTTTTGGAGTACGTGTCGCCGAAAAAGCGTTCATTATTTTCAAAAATACCTCTGTTCATCAGTGAAAATAACTAGCCCTTAAGCCGTACACAGAAGTTTCTCCCAAATGTAAATTCATGGATCAATCTGGCCGCACACGAGATCCTGTGAGCTTTAAACATCTTTTCATTTTGAGAGTACTTTATATGATACTCAAGACCTAGAATATTTTCAAAGAAATTGCCTCGACATTTTTGCTCGATTAGAGAGACAGGTTCGATTTTAAGTTATTTATTTCGGTTATTTTCAAAAATTGCAAAAGTGTAATTTTTGAAATTCCTTCCTACAACTTACTTTATTGAAGGTAAAGATTTTTTGTTCATAAAATATTTTCTTCAAAATTAGATCTTTCAATGACGCCATGTACACATTTTCAAGTATTATTTCCACATAATTTTGAGCGAAATCGTGACAATTTTTACAAAATACATCAACAAGATTTTCTCAAAAACTGTCCCATATTTTTTCTTTAAACTTTTTACTCGAAGATATTAAAGTTTTCTTAATGTAATAGGGACTTGTCATATTTTCATTAAAATCTCTAAAATTTCGCAATTCGCGAAATTGCAAATTTTTTGACAACCTCCTTAAACTCTATTAGTAAAAATAGTTTTTTTTAAATAAAACCTATTTCTGAAAAATATGTATTTATATTATTTCGTGTACATTTTTTTACCACGTAGGTATTTTCACTTAAATTCGAGTGAACTCGAGACTTTTTCGCCCAAATATTTTGGACACATCTACAAGACAGTTTTAAAAAATAATTTTTCCTGTAGGTTAGTAGGTAGGTAACTAGTTAAAATCTAATTTTTCGAACTAAAATATAATTTAAGACAGGAAAACCTGCAATAAATCTCTTACTATGCGTTGTTTATTTAGAAGTGCTACAATTTTGACCCTACAATCATATCATAATCCAAACGTGTACAAATGTTGGTGTTGGCTGTCACCAAAACACGCACTTCCGGGTTTGCTAGCATAGTATTCGCTGCAATTTTGTAGACCATATCGTAGGTTCCAGTTTCCAAGGGCGAAGGAATTGTAGCTCTAGTTGGGACAATAAATTTAGACGACTCCAAGTATTTTATCAGATTCTGTCACTATTCTCACGTAAACGGCTGTTATCGAACACTACATCATTGAACTTTCCCATTTGTGGATTAGGATATTAAAAGGGGATATTGTGACTGTAGACTCGAAGTGGAGAGTGTTGTGAGGGGAGGGAATTGTAGTGAGGGGCGTTAATAAAGTGTCTCCTCTACAGGGAAATAGATGGGTTGGTCGAAGCTGCTACCAGGACGAGAATTCTAGCGGTGGTCAGCTGTGTCGAACATTACGTGATTTTTTTTTTCTGTTTTTCTTCAATCAATTCCACGCTGGAGTACTGTCCATCAAGTCACTTATCACCGTCCTTTAGCGCAATTGTGTGTGTGTGTGTGTGTGTGTGTGTGTGAGAAAGAGAGAGAGAGAGAGAGAGGGGGGAGAGGAGAGAAGAGAAGAGAGAGTTAGCCGAGTACTCCCGA